GTATATTTGGGAAATCCCTCAAGGTTTCGAGGATAATCGTAACATTAGGATAGTTTCGACTTAGTTGTGAACTAAATATGACCATGAATATGCGCCAACGTGACCAGAAGGTGCAATCGCAACAGTTACTGAGCAGTTGCGCCTTCTGAACGTGCCCAACGAAAAAATTGTCGCAAACAAAACGGCTCACTTTGATTGGCCAAAACTCAGCTGGTTTGAATTCCCTCCATGCATTTTTGTTTTGTCGCATTGACGCGCGTCAAAAGTTGAGAGTTGGGCAATTTTTATCCAAGACCAATAGAATACAAGATTGCTCTGATTGATGTGAAGTTCAGGAGAGTAACGTAAATATGACGTCATCGGAGGTTTGCCGGTGGAGAGAGCTGAGAGAGTTCTATCAGTATGAGTTTTTCTTAACTTTTTACAGCTGTTGATAGCAGAATAGCGAAGAGTATAATTTTACGCACAAAGAGATCGAAAGAGGAAAAAGTAAAGAAACGAAAACTAGCAGAAATTTGCAATCACAGTATACACACACACACACATTTTCACATGCATGCACAAATCTTTATACCATGTTCTGTTTTCGCTGAAAACTACTTGAAAACTCACGTTCCACTCGTTCCAATCGGAGTCTTCACTAGTTTTTTTCGATTATTTATCGAAGTGGATGTCATATTTTATCATCTTTAATACGCTATTTCGTATTTATTGTTAATTGGCTGGCCAAAGTAAAATAAGAATGAAAGTAAGAGGTTGCTAATGAAAAGAAAATGTGGGAAAAGCAGTTTGGTTTTGTTTTTGTGTAGCAAAACTGCAATGAGAGGATGTAAGAAATGTCAACGAAAACACTAACAGCCGGTGTGAACAGCCTTCAGCCCACAATTCCAACACTCGTTTTCTAAGGGTTTTCGTTGTCGGTCAGAACATGGTATTACATTCTGCAATGTTTCATTGCGTTTTGATAACGATGCACTCATTTTGTTTTATTAAAACGAAGTAAAATAAAATTGCCCACTTTTTCCTTGTGCGTTGTGAACAGCTGCTTCTTAAACATATGACTGCAAATTTCTGTTGGCGGAAATTTCGCCTTATCCATTCGTCATGAAATACACTAGCTAGAAGTGCTATTACTTTATAAAAAAGAGAACCATTTTTGAAATATGAGTGTTTTTACTAATTAGAAAATAATTTATGCAATCTGACATACGCGGTTTTGCATTATCTTGATACACGGGTTTGCATTTTGTTGATACGCGGTTTTGTACTTTAAACGATGATATGTATATTGCACCTTATGTTAGTTATCGATCAAGGCGAATTTATACATAATAGTTGCGTTCCGAATGCTTCACGATATTCACGATTTGCAGGAACAGCTGCTTTCTCTATTATAAGGCTTGCGCACGAGCGATTTTTCAGGCAACTTTTAGTTGAAAGCAAAAATCGCCTCGTCCGAACGGCCTTTCAACTAATCGCTTTCAACAAAGTTGGTCACCAGCCAACTTTGAGCTCGTTCCACTTTTTTTCCTTGCAACCCTGTGTCTGTTTACATTCTGTATCAGTGTTGGGGAATAAAAATGTTCCTTCAGTACGAAATCTATACAAAAAATGTACTTTTCGGCTATAAATTGTATACACTTTTTAATTCGCTCATATATTTTCTTAGTACATTCCCTTCAAGACCAATGATTTAATGATTTTATGGTATTCATGAGAAAGTTTTATTGTTTTTGTACATTCGTTTACGTATTTTACACTTTTACAAATTGATTTCACGTGCACATGTACTGCATTTAAGGCAAATATGTATGCACACATTTTCAGGCATACATCTTAACAAAAAGCATATTTAAGTTATTATTAATGGATAAAAGAGACATTTTCTTTGGATACAGTACTAAAATTTGACATTTTAATAGCATTTCAAGTGCTTATCAAAACTTTACGATAAGATTTGACAATTTATCTTAATATTATTAAATTTTAATTATTTTTTGTAAAAATACGGTTTATATTTTAAGAAAAGCTGTACAAATCCAAGGTTCAAACTTTGTGCAACATTAAAAAAAACAACACACTTTCGAAAAAATTTCGAGCTTTTAATTCGATTTCCCAGATTTATTTTAGGTGTACGGTTTTTTAGCCCATTAAATTCTACTATAACTAAGTTTTTTAAGATTTCTTTGATGAAGGTGTTGCTAATTTTCTCCATATCAAAAAATCATCGAACACACTTCGTATGGAAGAAAATGGCTGACATCGTAGACAAAAAAAAAAATTGCCAAGTTCAACGGTAAGTCCAAGCTACTTTAAACTTGCACTTTATTATACTAAAATTGAATGGGCTAAACACTAAAGAGTATTAATAAAGCTCGAAATTTTTACGAAAGTATGTTGGTTTTTGAATGTTTCGCAAAGATTTAATCTTGGGTTTATAAAGTTTTTCTTAAAGAATACATTATATTATATAAACAGATAATTGAAATTAAAGAATAATAAAATAAATAGTAAAATCTTGTCAATATGTGAGTGCCGTAAAGGTATTATATTTAAGAAAATCTCTTCTTATAACTAACGAAGACTTTGTTTCTATATGAAGCTGACTTCGACATTTTTTTTTTAATAAAACTTAGTATCGAAAAGTTTCTTTAAAAATTTACCTAGCCTATATTATAGTATTACTAGTTCGTTCAAGCCATTTTTCAAAACTTACAAAGGTAAATACGAACAGGCAAACAAAAGAGAATACAAAAAATCGTTTGCTGTGAATTTTCAGAGCTATATATTTTTAGTATTCATTACAAAATTGTACTAAAAAGTACTGCGTAGTAGGAAAGTATATTGTAAATGAAACTATATCAAACAAGTACAATTGTACCAAAAAATGCCAACACTGTTCTGTATACATACTTTTTTTCTTTTTTACTTTAGTTTTATTTTATCTTTCAGCTTCGCTAAAACCACTTCTACCAACGCTTAGCTTACCAAATTTACGCCAATTGATAAAATTTTGCGATTTAAATTCATTTTCAATAATGTAAATAACAATTCGTGTTGAATCCAAAATCGCTTCGTCTGAATAGAGATGGCAACTTTTTCACTTTCAACTTCTCATTCAACTTCGCATTCAACTTTTGTTGCCTGTAAAAACGCCCCGTGCGTATGCCCTAATAATATAATTTAATTAATAAACCTTATCGAAGGTGGTCACCTGGAACGACTTCTTGTAAAAACCTGCAAATCGTGAAGCATCTGGAACGCAACTAAAATAAATTTCCCTTTTTATCGATGTTCACCACAAATCGAGTATCTACTGTACCCGTCTTATCAGCTGATCTTTGAAAACATTTGTTTTGGCGCGCGGGCGCGTTTGTTTCGATTTTTGATGAATTTCTTCACAGGTCAGTTTTTGTCATGTTCTGGTTTTGCTAAAAAAGTATTTGGTTTTTCGCAAAAATGTCGTCTCGAAACTATGTTCCAATGCAACAGAAGTATAGTCGCGTAATTATGTTGGTGGACATGGACTGTTTCTTTTGTCAAGTCGAAGAAAAACTTGATCCCCAATTGAAGGGACAACCGCTAGCAGTGGTGCAGTACAATGCATGGCGAGGTGGCGGGTAATTTCTAAAAAATATCAAAAGTAGGTTTATTTAAAAAGCTAACTGTGGTTCAATATTAAATAGAATTATTGCTGTCAACTATGTAGCGCGTGCGAAAGGTGTAACACGCCACATGCGCGGCGATGAAGCAAAGGAGCGTTGCCCTGAAATACAATTGGTAAAAGTGCCGAACATACGCGAAAAAGCCGATTTGGGCAAGTACCGTGACGCAGGCAAAGAAGTGGCAAATGTGCTGCAGCGCTTCACGCCATTACTGGAACGCGCCTCTGTTGATGAGGCGTATTTGGATATAACGGAATCGGTTAACAAGCGATTGGGAGGCATGAGTGCAGTAAGTTTATTTAATCTTTGTTAAGAAAAATGGGTACTGTTTATGAATTTGTACAACTATTTTGGGTTGCTGTGCCCAAGCGCGTGAATCGAATCAAAAACCGTTTACACACACTTGTAGACGACAGTTCACGCTTTATTACAAAAATTTAATTTACTAAATCTGTGCACTAATTTAACAATAATGTTGGTATTTGTTGCAAATTTCCGAAATATACGCACACTGATTACTCTTATTCTGCCTTAAAGCAGCCACTTAATATCTTAATTTTTGTTGTTGTTGTTGTAGCATCATACAAGTTTCCCAAAGGGTTTTTGGGGAGTGTTGCTGGTGTGACAGTCCTTGGCCAGATATAAATCTGGGTCGTTCCGGTTACGTAGACCCGACTGTCGTGGGAACGTATTCATTTATATACCTGAGCGCACTTGTGCACAAGGGTATATTAATTTTGTTCACATAACGGTTGTTTGTAACAGCCAAAACGAATCGAGATAGATATAGACAAATGTATACATAAATGCTCAGAATGAATAGGGAAATCGATTAAGCCATGTCCGTCCGTCCGTGTACACGATAACTCGAGCAAAAATTCAAATATCTCAACGTATGTAGGTTTCCGTTAATCCAAGGTAGGTTGGTATTGAAAATGGGCGAAATCGGACTGTAACCACGCTCACTTCCACATATAACGGTAATTTTCGGAAATACGAAAACTGCGATATTTTAGTAACTACTGAATATTATTCACTCAAAATTGATATTTACAACAATTTTTAGACGAAAAATAAAAATATTATAAATTTTTGGAAAATGGGCGTAGCCACGCCCACTTATGATTACATGTGTATATCTTGGTAACCGTTGCACCAATTTCTTCCAAACTTGGCACAGTTTTTGATACAGCCTTGGTACAGCATACCAAATGGCCGAAAATCTAAAAAATCGGAAAATAACCACGCCCACATCCCATATAACGGTAAATTAGAGAAATACAAAATCTTCGATAAATCAGTAAATATTAAAGCTAATTTATTCAAAATTGATGGTTGCAACAATTCTTTACCAAGAAATACGTTTATGGTAAAATTTTGGAAAATGGGCGTGGCACCGCCCACTTATGATCACATACATATATGTATATCGGTAACCGTTCTACCAATTTGTACCAAACTCGGTATTTTTATTGTGCTTGCCCAATAAAAGCAAAACGTTGAAAATTATTAAAATCGGACTAAAATTACGGCCGCTTTTCATATATCGGTAAATTTCAGAAATGCTTGAAACTGCAATATTTCGAAATTTAAGGACGCTAATTTACTCAAAATTGATACACCCCGGCTTGCCATCTAGCGGCAGCTTTCGGAAAGGTGAAAAATATATATTTACATCACGTACCCGCCCCCCCACCCCTAAATCGTTGTACAAATAGCTAAACATTTCCCAGAAAAATACCTAATTCGGGTTTTATTTCATAGGGTTCATCCATGCTTCAGCCAGAAGGACTTGTAAATACATACGCCGTTGGATATGCAGGCATAGGCGATTATGTAAACGTAATTACAAGACGTTTTAATAATTCCAATATAGAGGATGCCGATTTAGAAACCGAAGCGGGCGCATTTGCGGAAGCTCATGATGCTGGCGATATGGCCGCACGTCAAAGCGATATACGTTTGCTTATTGGCGCTGCTATTGCAGGAGAAGTGCGCGCCGCAGTCAAGGCCGAGACGGGCTATGACTGCTCCGCCGGTATAGCACACAATAAAATACTCGCAAAACTAGCTTGTGGCATGAATAAACCAAACAAGCAGACAATTTTGCCATTGGCACAGATACCCACGTTATTTGAAACTCTGCCGGTTGGCAAAATACGTGGACTGGGTGGCAAATTTGGTGAAGAAATTTGTGCGGCATTACAAATACGTTTTCTAGGCGAGCTGTTGCCGTACTCAGAGCAGGAGTTGCAAAGGAAATTCGATGAGAAGAGCGGGTGAGTTATGTGACCTTCTATGTTTATAAAAAATATATATGTATGTATGTATGGACATTGTATGTATTTTATGAGGAATTATTCATTTTCTAGCACCTGGCTTTATTATATATGCCGCGGCGTTGACTTGGAAGCGGTTACGCCACGGTTCTATTCGAAAAGCATTGGCTGTTGCAAAAAATTTCCGGGACGTAACAACATTACCGGTTTAAATACACTGCGGCATTGGTTAGGTGAGCTAGCCAACGAGGTGTGTGATCGCATGGAAAAGGATATGCTCGAAAATAATCGTCGAGCTAAACAAATGGTTGTTAGTTTCATACAAGAATTTGATGGAGAAGAGGTATCTAGTTCACGTTCAGCGCCACTTAATGGTTATGATCAAGAAACTTTAACGAAAGGCAGTTTAGATGTGATACAATCGCACACTAAACAATTTTTTAAACCTGGCAGCTCATTGGTATTGAATAACCCTATAAAATTTTTGGGTATTAGTGTAGGAAAATTCGAAACAATACAAAGTGGACAAGGAAAATTGCAGGAAATGTTTGCCAATCTGGCAGCTAAGAAGAAAAACGAAATAACTAATACGGTAACTCAGCCAGTATGTATAGACAACGCTAGTACAAATAAGAACACTGAGATCGCAGAACCTTTTGTTGCAAAGAAACCAACATTCATGCAACATTTCTTAGGACGTGCGTCGGATCATGAAGATAAGCCAAGTGGCTCAAGTAATGTTGGGACAAATTCAAGAGATTGGGAAAAATCATCGTCGCTCGAAAGTATTACAAATGAAACAATGGAGAGTGCGCAGCCACCGGAAAAACGAAGCTTCTTTCTCAATGCGCTAAGAAAACCAAGAAACAACGAAATCGAAAGCCAGGGCTCCACAGTTGGCGGTAGTGACATCACTTCGAAGTATGAGGCTAAAAGTGGCGACATATCAAATAGTTTTTTTGCAAAAATTTTGAATAATACAAAAGATGAAACCAATAATTTGACTAAAACAGCAAATGCAAGCAACGTGCAGTTGTCTTCAACGGAGTCCTGTAAGACGACGGCATTTGAAAGCAAAGGGAACGATTTTGAACTGCAACAGAAAATGACTTTTATAGTAGGTGACACAAAAGAATCTACTTCTAAATTAAACAAAAATAATGATACAAAAAGCACTAAGCGAAAATACACAGCTTCGCAAGATAACTCCTCCCCAACTCATGTTCCCCAACCCAACGAGATTGCAGCAACTTCGAAGCACACTCCTCCACAATCTTATGAGGAAAGTTATGTCGAATTTGCGATACCTGAATTGCGTGCCGAACTTTTGAAGATGACAAAATGTGAAATTTGCAAGGCTAATGTACCATCAGACATCCGTTCAATACAATTGCATCAAGACCATCATGTGGCCATGCAACTCAGTCAGCAATTGCGTGATGAATATCGTACGGAAGTTAAAGCTCAATTGAACAAGCCTTTAGCTACTAGTAGTGCTGCACCGAATAAAAAAGCAAAAAAGTCGTTAGTACTAGCAACAAAAGTCACTTGCACTAAAGAAGGAGGAAAATGTGCTACAAGTAGCGCAAGCATAATGAAGTATCTTAAGCCCTCAGCTCAAGGTGCAACCACATCTACGAATGTACCAGTGTGTGTGGCAGAATCTGAGCAATTCACCGAGGTAATCAACACATTAGATGATACTGTGGATACGGTGATTTGTGGGGAATGTAAAGTGCCCGTTGTCACCACTGAGCTCCAAGAGCATAAAGATTTTCACATCGCGAAATCGCTGCAGCGTCAACTCAATATGCTGGAGGTGCGCACTGTTCCGATTGTCAAAAAGGCGAGTGGCGGTTGCAATAGCACACTCAATACAACTCAGTCGAGCATTAAAAATATCAAACCAATTACAAAATTCTTTTCACAATCAAATTGTTAAATACTAAATAGTTAGACGTAAGCAGTGCTGAAGAGTGAAAAATATAAAATATATGTATCTTCAATCAACTTTGCTGTTAATATTCTAAGCACCGGAGGTGAGTTTAGTTTTTAATTACAATTATAATTATATTTCTACTATTCAACATTTGCTGATAAGAATTGTTTAATTATTTACATACACACATACGTATTCATGTACATATTCAATCTATGTACCCCCGATTTTCATAAAAACTTGTTTCTGATATTCAAACTCATCTGTTATTTAACTTTGAACTCTGATATTATTTCAAGCTTTGAATTCCAGTAGTAAATATTAATAGTATTTAAGCGATAAATACGGATAGCCCATTCCCACGAAAACCGGTTCTACGTACCGGAGTCACTCGGGTTTTACCCAACCAAGGGCTGTTGTTTCGGTGATCCAACCCTGTTTAGGTCAGCGAAATCTCAAACGTTGTTCGTCCATGGGGCAACATCTTCTCCGCATTCTTCTGTTCTAGCATAAAGTCAAACCCAGGGCCAGAAACCTATACCTGCGTATATCAGAGACCATTGCATCCAACTCCACCTCGGTGTAGCGGCTACAACAACCCCGTGCAGATCGGTTAATATCTCCCACTAACGGCAGCCCTAAGAAGCGTGCAGCCTCAATAGGGTCGGTCCGCATGGACAAAGGCGTTAGGGTTGTCGGGTTTTCCGGGCATACGAAGAGATGTTTCGAGTCATGAGGTGTCTCTCCGCATGCCGGACACTCATTTGGTTCATCTGCGTTTAGTCTGCTCAGGTATGAGTTTAACCTGCTGCAGTAGCCAGAGCGAAGTTGGGCTATTGTGGTTCTTGTCTCCCGGGGCAGATGAAGCTCCGTCTCGTCGATGTCCGGTGGTTGTGCGCCTAGAACGGCATTCACAGGTCTGGAGTCTACATAACTCGAGACTGACTCCCTGTGAATTCCGTTCAGGGCCTGTCGATAAGCTGACGGGTCCATAGGTTGTTTAATGAACCTCTGGACTTCGTCCGTCAGTTCGTAGAGATGCCTCCTGACGTGCCTGGCCGAGGGCTCTTCTGCAAGCAGCTGCCCATTTGGGTGACCTCGTCCACCAACCACAGTTTGAGCCTCTGCTTCGGCTTCCTCTCTGCCTCTATATCTTCTAGGAGCGTGGAGTGGCTGACGGTGTCAAACGCCTTTGACAGGTCCATCGCCACTAGAATAGTTCTCTCACAGAGACGGTTGCGGTTAAGGCCACGTGTTATCTGAGTGTTTATGGCGTTGAGTGCTGTCGTTGTACTGTTAACTTTACGGAAACCATGCTGATGCTTCGCTGGGGTCAGGTGGTTCGTGAAATACGGGAGTAGCAAGGCCTCTAGTGTCTTCGCTACCGATGAAGGGAGTGTTATCGGTCGATAAGAATCTCCTTTGTTGGCTGGTTTCCCCGGTTTGAGCAGTGGGACCACTCTGCCCACCTTCCAGATGTCTGGGATGAGGAGAGTGGCCATTGACATATTGATGACCTTCGTTTGGTACGCTACTCCCGCGGGACCCAAATTTATCAGCATCAATATGCATATTCCGTCGGGACCCATTGCTGTGGAGGCTTTCGCCTTCCCGACGGCCACTTGAACTTCACTGCTAGTGAAAGCAGGGGGGGGGGGGGGGGGGGGGGCGCAGGGGGGGGGGGGGTTGTACACCCTTCTGGTTTCACAACGCTTGGCTTTGTCCGCCGGAGGATGCGGTATGAACTGTAGGCTAAAACAAATCCCATGAAGACGGTTATCTCCTCAATCTTGCTCTGAAGTCCGTTCTAGTTGAATTGTAAAATCTTCGTGTGCCTAGGGAGACTTATTGGAATTTGGGGTGTTAGTGATGCGTGTTGCCGTACCGCCACATGCTGTGCTTGTTGCTGCTGGGCCTGTTGCCAGGTGGTGTTAGTGGGCGGCGTCGCAGTTGGGGGTTGCGACCGAGCAGCACAGAATGGGCCCTCACAATCTCTTGTCCAATCTCGCGTGGTGCGCGGTCTTGAGCATGCCCTAAAGTCACACCAGCCAAGGCAGGTGTTGCGCTTGACTGATGTCACATTACGCAATATCCTGGACTGACACACCGCGCAGCTTGTCGGAGGAACTAGGAGTTGTTGGCGGTGGCGTGTGGGTGGTGGTGCAGTTGTATCTGTAGTGTGGTCTGTTGTATCTGTGGTATTGTCTTTTGTATTGTGTTGTGGTGAGGTTGTGTTAGTGTTGAGTTGCTCAGGCGGACTCTGTTGTGCCGTGGAGGCAGCTTGATTGGCGCAGCAAGGTTCCACGTATGCAGTGGTCCATTGCCTGTGAGTCGTGAGGCCGGCTCCGGTCTGCATCACTGGTTCAATCCTCTCCCTACGAAGTCCTCGGCAACCCCTCTTAGACTACTCGCGTCGATGGTGTACTAATTCCGACGGTGAATAACCCTAAAATACTCAGTTACCTTCGATAGTCTGCTCTCCTTCTCGGCGCATACAATCGCAATTGGCAATAGCGTACAAGTCGCAACAAGGTTCTCAAGTCGCTAGCCGGCAGCACCTGCGGCAAAGGCAAAGAAACATTGCTGGCAACATACAAGGCAATTGGCCGGCCGGTTCTAAATTATACAGCGTCCGTGTGGCCGCCGGAGACCAGCAGGACGCAGTGGACGAGACCAAATACTTGCCAAAATACGTCACTCCGGACAGCCATTGGATGTCTTCTGCTGCCGTCTCACCATCACCTATACAACGTGGCCCAAATACTCCCTGTGAGGGAGGGTAAAGGTAAGTAAGTAATTCCTAGCAGGGGGCACATACGAAGGCACCCGAACAGACACTTTCTTGCCACAGAGCTTTCCACTAGGCATGCGAGAAGGAATCTATACGAACTAACGGACGAAGCCCAGAGGTTTATTAAACAACCTATGCACCCGAAAGGGCCCGACAGAGCTTCGTCTGCCTCGGGAGACTCTCACCACCTTCACTCTGCTCCAGCAGGCTAAAGTCCTACCTGAGTAGAATAAATCTGGATATACCCAATGAGTGTCCGGCATGCGGAGAGTCACCTGATGACTCGTAACACCTTTTCTCATGTCCCCTAAAACCCACTCAACTAAAACCCCCCAACTCACTTTGAGTAAATCAATTCCTGGGTCTCCCGTGTCTCCCGTTTGTTGAGCTTGACGACAACGATTGAGCGATAAGCCGATCTAGGTAGGGCTAAGGTAGCCGCTACAACAACAAACGCTTCATACCTGCGACAATCATTGTAATTGAAACGACCCAGATTTATATCTGGATTGGCACTCCAGAGAGATTCCTTAAAAACTTTGGAGAACCATGCAGCGGTTGTTTGGTCTATGGAGACTATTGGGACGTAGTGCATGAAGATTTAGACGTGTCACAAGACTGCACCCCGAACATACACATCCACCGGTTCCAATAATACAAATTGTACGAGATCCTGGATATTTTATGCGACATTCATTGAAATACTGCACCGTATTCACTAAAAAAGTTTTTTGAAATATGACAATCGGCAAGGATTATCTAATTTTATTTGGTCTCCCTTTTCTTCAAAGCTTTAACATTGAATTGTTAAATTTAATTTGGCCTCCCTTTCCATCAAGGCTTTAACTTTGAATTGTTCTTCCTCCCACTGTAGGAGTCGCGAAACCATTAGTCTTTCTGGCGAAATCGACTACCTCTGCTATCAACAAGGAGCTAATGATTCCCTGTTCTATCCATCAAAACAAAACAGTTTTAGTTAAAGTAGTTTTTGAATTGCCGTAGCAACCGTTTGCATTTTATTTTACTTTTTTAATTTGTTCTAATACAATTAAAAAAAACTAATTAAACACTTGATGACCAAATACTCTAGATATTATAACGTAATCACAGCGTTTTCGTACGACAAAACTATCATAATTTCCTTAGAAATACCAATTTGGATAAATATATTCCCTTGATTTAATTGAAGTATTTGGTGTAGTAGTCATTGTAATAGTTGTAGTCGAATTGACCATAGTTCTTGTATCCCTCGTAGTATTTCTTGAGTGTATTGTTGTGGTAGATGCTGACATCCATGAAGTACATGTTAGGCACGAAGAATTCATTCTCATCAATTGGACGGTCAAGTGGATAACCGAATAATTGGTTGTCAATGTGGCGTGTGCCGGAACCAATACCGGCAGAGTAGGTCGAGTCGAAGTTAGAGTTCTGTTCCACGGTTGCCTCGTATGGCGCAATGTAGAAGAAGAGTTGCACTGGGAAACCAGTCTCCCAACCCTTAGGCAAGATCAGGCGTTGTGGGAATCCGCTGTGTGGTTCGCTAATGTCCAATGGCAGTTCATATTTGCCATCAAAGGCAGCCATCACGTAGTGGTACATTTCAGTGTAAGTGGTGCGATCCTCAATAGCCCAATCGAAGTCCTCGGATGAACGTTTGATGACATTCTCGCCAGCAGTCAGCTCATAAACGAACTCATCCAATTCAACGAAGTTCTGACGGTTCTGCTCCAGCGAGATAATACGTCCGTACTCATCGAATTTAGGTCCGTAGAATGTGCGGATGACAACCTTTTGTGGTTTGTCAGATTGGACTGTGATGTCAAAGTTGAATGGTTTGTGGTTGAGACGCATCTGACGGGCATATAATGCCTTATCCCAAACGAATTCGCCATCAGCGAACACCATTTTGTCGTTCATTAAGTTGGTGACATCAAAGTCTACCAAATCGTAGTAAGTGACCATTTCACTGACTCCCACACGCTTGATTTCAACGCCGGGTAGAGCAAGTTCCTCTCTGGTGTAGGGGTGGAGTTGTTGTTTGTACAGGTAGTAGACGGTGCTGATTTGTTTGTACAAGCTGTAGAAGAGCGGATCACGCATCATGGTTTCGTAATTCAGGAAGACATTGGGCATTACTTCGAAATCGTTGTAGTCTACGCCAGCGACGAGCATATGAGTCAGCATGTACCAGGAGTTGAGAACGTACTTGTCAATGGTATCGATGGTATCAGCGTTGCCTTGCAAGTAATTGCCGATGTATTCAACAGCTTGTGGCTGGTGTAAATCGATTTTGTGACCGTCGCGGGTGGTGTAGACGCCAGACTCAATGATACCGTAGATGCGTTTGTGAGCGCTTTGAACTTGGTTCAACATATCGTAGTTGCCGTAACTTTGGATTTCGAAGTAGTTTTTGCGGTATGTGTAACCAATACCACTGAATGAAAGTAATTCTGGATCGTAGCCTTGTTCGTAAGCGTGGTACCAAGAGAGTTCTGGGATATCGCCCAAACCGTTAGCCAAGCGTTCCATGTAGTAACGAGACAGAAGTTGTTCAACATTGTACACCCACCATTCACCACGACGATCCTTGTCCAAGCCGAAAGTTTTGCCATCCAAGAAGAAAGCATAGTCCATGTTCAAGTAGTACCAGTATGAGTTCCAGCCCAAATCCTCAGTAAAGTAGGACAACATGGAGTGTTCGTTGAAGAATTCTATATCGCGGGTGTAGTCAACGGGATGCCAGAACATTTTGATATCCTTCATGAATGATATATATTTGTCGTCGGCCATAATTTCGTAGGTGTTTTCACGTAGCGGGTAGCTCTTCTCAGCAGCATACCAGTTCTCACCCAGACCCATCAATTTCCACCATTGGTAGGTCTTGAAGTCCTTCATGTAGAAGTAGTCTTGGTTGTAGTATTTGTTGTTCTGGTAGTAGACATCATTGAACTCCTTCTCGTATTGGATGTACTTGCTCCAGGTATTGTAGTCGAATTTCTCGGCAGCGTAGATGAATTTGCTGTTGAAGAAGTATTGTGGGAAGATTTCGTAGATGGTGGGCAGGATGAGACCCTGGAAGTCATCGCGGTGGATGACGGCCAAAGTAAGAGCGTAAACGAACATGCCTTCGTTGACATGGATGCGAGCCCAAGCAACATTTTGTTGGAAGGTTTCCCAATCCTTGGCGTAGTAGAAGTAGTTGAAGAGAGCGTAGGCTTGTTTGTGGTGAGTGTGGACCATAGCGCCGAAGAATTCACCTCTTGGCAAGAGTGCGCCCATTTTGTAGG